TAAAAGCTCAGCTAGTTTATCGAACCAGCTCAGAAACTAGTGCGGCTATATATCTTATCTATAACTTAAGCATTGACGAGTAATAATCGTAAAAGCTACAATGACCAAGGTTTTAATTAAACAAAATCCCCACAATCGTTTATCAATAAATCGAGTTATGCATCCGCAAAAATAGAGAGACAACAAAGAAGATACAAAATTACCTTGTAACCAAACACCAAATCCATTTTCATTGATCACAAAGTGTTCCAGAATCCTTGAGAAGAGAGAAAAAAGGAAAATCGAACAATCTGATTTAAGTCATAATTATAACTACGAAAAAGAAAATCATGATTAAAGCATAAAAGTAAAAGATTGAGGGATTATAAGTTGTGAGAACCCTAGACTGAGATTTTCGCGTGGAAAAGGGGTTGTAGTTAGTAGGGGCGAACGCTGAAGGAAGAGAGAGATGATCGAAGAAAAAGTGATCCAAAAATGCGAAGAAGAGCTTTGTTTCCGATTTGGAGCGCTTCAAAAGTCACAGAAGTGCGAGAAAGAGAGAGAGTTTTGAATTTAAGTTCTTAACTTTTAATTTTATTCTTTTAACAATAAAAAAATATTTTAATTAAATTGGTTACGTGGTGACATAAAGAGGTGGCAGAGCAATATATAGTTATTTAAACATTGTGGCGGTCTTAAACCGCTAAAAATTTAATCTTTTTTGGCGGTTATAATAACCGCTAGAACTCCAACCGTTTTTAGCGGTTTATTGAAACCGCCAGAAAATAACCGCTATTAATTACATAATTTTTTGTAGTGATTCATTGCTTCATTTTTTTTCTATAGATATATTTTTCTTATTTCCAATAATTGATATTAAAAGATATGACTTTTAAGATCGGTTATCCTCATAACCCATCTTAAAGGTATACTTTTAAGATCGGTTAATAATTGATTTTAAAAATGATATTTTGAGTCGATTTTTATAGATAACCTAACTTAGTATTCTTCACTAATTAACATATACAACCTCATTACTCTTCTCCCTCCTACAAGTTCTCCATCCCTTTAGTTTGCTGCCCCTTACCATCACCCTTGTTCACCCCTATGTAGCTTGCTCCTCGACACTGCACCGCACTATAGGTGTTCTTTTTTTTCTTTTTTTTTTCTTTCCATGTTTGTTTGTGGGTTTGTTTCCATTTAGCCATTTTTTGTATTTTAGATCCAATGAGAGGTTTTGAACAAAGTGTTTTTCTTTTAGATCTGTTTAAGGCTTTTGTGCCAATAAAATTGTACATAAAATGTTTCGGTTTCAGATCTGGTTGTATCGAAGGTGGACCAAATGAGTTGGATTAGAAGTTGGAAGTTTGAAGGGTTTTGGTTATTACACAAGGAGAAGGTTTGATTTAGGATAAGGAAAAGTGGGGCATAAAAGGGTCGGGGGTTTAGGGGTAAGGGCCGAAGAAGGTGAAGGATGTGTACAACCGTTTTTAGCGGTTTATTGAAACCGCCAGAAAATAACCGCTATTAATTACATAATTTTTTGTAGTGATTCATTGCTTCATTTTTTTTCTATAGATATATTTTTCTTATTTCCAATAATTGAACAATCGCGGTCTCCGCCTTCGCCGTCTCGCTCGCCGTCCCGCAAGAGGGAAGAAACAGTAAGCCAGAAAGATTCCGGAAAAAAAAAGTGAACTTCATAATAACCATTCATCTGACGTGAATGTGAATTTTAAATAATTAAAAAATTATAAATAACTTGGATTTACATGTAAGTGACACATCATCAACATTACCGGTACCCTTCTTTTATAGAGGGTACCGTAGAAATTCTCTTAAAAAAAACGACATAAAATAAAAGACTTTGCCCTTTCCTACGTTATTTTCATTTTCCAAATATTTTTGGTTCCTCTTCATTCCCTGTTTTGTAGCTGCATGAATTTTCAAAGCGCCAGGGTTTATGGCCCCTCCTCTGCCACTTCCATATAAACACCTCACACGCTCTCACTTGTGTTGCAACTCGACATAACATAACCCAATTCTCTTACTTATTTACCCTTTTTGCCACTGTCCCAACACAAAGCTGGGGAGGCTTGTGGGTGTGATTGCAGCAGGCATGGGGGTCTCTTCCCAGACCACCCCTTTGTATTGCCCCTCTTGTTCCCGCCACTTCCCTGTTCGTGTTGCTCTCTCTTCTTGGTCCCTCTTCCGCCCCAGGTTCTTTTTCCTCCAAAAATTTCATTTTTTTTTCCATTGGGTGTTGCTTTCGCCTTGCCCTTCTGTTGAATCGTCAGAAAGTCTTTGGTGGGGTGTCAAGGGTTGTTTGTTGTTGTTGTTGATGATGATGATGATGATGATGTGTGTGCACTCTGGTTTTTTTGGTTTTGGTGGCTTTGTTAGATGGCTTGGAGAATCTTGTTTACTGTTGTTGAGCTGAACTGTCTTGTGCTTTGTTGGCTTTGCTTTTTCTTTGGATTGGAGCTTTTAGATACGGTGAATAGTGTGGTTGAAGATGATAAATTTGAAGTAGTAGTTATGGTTTGTTTTTTCTTTCTGGCGTTTTGGAGTCTCCAAGGGGTGGGGGAGGTATATAGAGAAGAATGGTTTGATTTTATAGTGGAAGTGCGGGAGAGTTTTGTTTGAAGTTTATTTGTGTGTTTTCGGAAAATGTACTTTGAGGCATTTTGCTTATGGTCATTTTTGGGGTTTTCTCTTGATGCTGTGTATTGTGAGTTGGTGACTTTGTGATTGTGGCTGTTCAGTTTATGGACGGTTCTGGTATTGTCAGGTCTTGAATGGGATTTTCACTCTAAAGGATATATGATTTGAGCAAAAATAAAAATTGAAAACTCAAAGGGTTTATAGAGACTGTTGCAGTGCACGCCATAAAAGGGGTGTCACCTTGTAAATTTCACCTAGCTTTATGGTTGCTATTGGCTTGAAATTTGTGTTGATAAAAGTTATCACATTTGTTAGTGTTAACTTTCAAATAATGATGATAAAAAAGAGAAAGAAAAAATCAACATCGAATGGGAAGTTACTAAAAAGTGAAGGGTTAGTTCTAAATCATGAAGGGGGTATGTAACTGATATTATTAAGGTTCTCTATTGTCTTCCTATTGCCTTTTCTTCCGCACATTTTGTTTTATTTGGAAAAATCAATATTTTGTGTTACTCATCAAACACTAGGTAAAGGTCTTTGTACCTCCCTGGTTTTGACACTGGTTACTCAACTCCATAATATTTACAACACCTCGTATAAAGTATTACTATTGCATATTATTGGTAGTTACTAACATTTGTAGGTAAAATATGTAAAGCTGGCAACTAAGGGTATCATTTTATCCTGCGATTAACTATAGGTAATTGTGGACTACATAGGAACAAATGACAGGCTGGATAGTGGAAATATTTTATTATTATTCATGTCATTTCAAAATGTGTATTATTTTAGCTCATCTACACAAGCTTTTCTTTGGCTAGTTGGCTGCATAGTCTCGTTTGTGCTAGGTGATTCTTCTTGTATTGTATCTTCTTCATGCTAAACTGAAAAGCTAAATATGCTATTACATTCCATTAATTGGTACTATATTTTTTTCTTTTAATTTTTGGCATGGTATGAACCGCAGAAGAAAAATCCAATCAATCCACATTGCCAACAATGTCTTTCAACATAGTACATTGTCTTTCGGAGAAGGTTCGTCCTGTCTAAAGAGAACACCTTTTGGGTTGAAAAAACGTAATGACATGGAGCATAGCCATAAATCTCCAGTACATGTTCCAGTTATGAAATTTTCAAACATGCCATATGGCGTGTTGAAGGAAACAGCACATGAAGAGATGAGTTCTTTACATTCATGCAATAGACAATTTAGGATGGTGGGTTGTGCTACACAGAATTTGAGATTTCCCACAACCTCTGCTAATAGAAAAAAGTTGTTTGGGTATAGAAAAGACTGGGTTGAGGAAGGTTTTAAAGTGCGTACAGAAAAAATGGAAATACATGCACTTGTAAGAATTGCATCTAATGCATTTACTTCCAGTGATCAAGAACAGGCTGTTTCTATGAATGGGGAGCACACTTTTGTGCAGCAGGATCTTGACGAACCTGCCTCACCTTCTGTTGAACATTCTACATTAATCAACTCAAAAGAGTTGATAGACACTAAGACAGTGGGCACCCAGTTAAAGGTACCTTCATCAAAAACTAGTAAAGAGAAAGTTGATAGAGTTAACGCGAATCGTCATTTGGATACAACTGCAAAGGATGCAACTGAGGAAAAATCTGTTAAAATGGCACGAAGTACTGCACAGTCAAAACTCCGGGACAGGCTTTGTAGTATCTACAAAGACATATTGGTTGTTAATAATATTTCTCTTGCAGAGGAAGTTGCTAAGATGCTTACAGTAAATTATAGGCATCTTATTCATGCATGTGATACTGAGGTACTATTCTTGACCATGTCAACATGCACTATGGTTGAGCCTTGATTGCAACTGCGTACTTAACTGATAACTCTTCATTTTTTTTCTAATACGAGTATACTCTGGAAACAAGCTTAGTGGATTTGTTCTTTTTATTTAACTCGTACAAATTGGAATGGTATATTATATTTTAAACCTTTCTTCAATTGCATGCATGTTAACAGTATATGTACGAATCTCGTGGCTACTTGTATTTCACAAATGTTGGAATGTAACACGTACTGCCTTTCAATGTCTTCAAAGGTGGCCAAGATAAATGTCAAACAGGAAACACCTGTAGATCATGGAGAGATAATATGCTTCAGTATTTATTCGGGTTCAGAAGCTGATTTTGGTGGTGGAAAGTCCTGTATCTGGGTAGATGTTCTTGATGGTGGAGGCAAAGAGATCTTAAATAAGTTTGCTGAATTTTTTCAAGATTCATCCATCAAAAAGGTAAACTCTTTCTTCTGACCCTTTTTATGCTTAAAATCCTATCACTCCTCTTGATGTGCACCTCTTAAGGTCTGTTTGGCTTAAATTTTATAAAAATTGGTTGTTGAAGAGTTGATGTTAAAAAAATTGATTTGTGTCGGGGAATGATGTTTTAAAAGTTAAGAACTAATTTTATTTGAATGGTAGAGTGCATGTTTGGGTAAGGTTTGTAAAATCGATTTTGAATGAAATTTGATTTTGTAAGATTGATTTTAAAGTAATGTGATTTATATTTGAATGTTTCTATTCTAAAAAAAAAAGTTAATAGGGAAATTCAGTATAAATTTTTTGATTCAAGTTCAAAACAAATTACTTTAACTCAAAATCAATTATAGACCCAGAATCAATAACCAAACATGTGAATATTTACTTAAAATCATGTTAGCTAATATTTACCAAGTGATTCTAAATGACCCAACGTAAATCCAAACATCCACTGGGCAGAATTGTTGGAAAGCCGCCTTAGTTGAATGGTAGAGTGCATGTTTGGGTAAGGTTTGTAAAATCGATTTTGAATGAAATTTGATTTTGTAAAATTGATTTTAAAGTAATGTGATTTATATTTGAATGTTTCTATTCTAAAAAAAAAAGTTAATAGGGAAATTCAGTATAAATTTTTTGATTCAAGTTCAAAACAAATTACTTTAACTCAAAATCAATTATAGACCCAGAATCAATAACCAAACATGTGAATATTTACTTAAAATCATGTTAGCTAATATTTACCAAGTGATTCTAAATGACCCAACGTAATTCCAAACATCCACTGGGCAGAATTGTTGGAAAGCCACCTTAGTTCCAGTCACTCCTAGCACACCTTAGTTGTGGCATCTTTGGGAGCTGCTTTAGTTGGATCTTCAAGGGTGGTGGTTTAGTCCCACATATCAAATAGAGATATGGCTTAAATATAACTTATGAGGTTTGGACAATCCTCACCTTACAAGCCAGTTTATTAGGGTGGAATTATGCCATAAGCCCAATTTCTAAGACAAGTCACTCTTGAAGTGTAAATACCTGTATGTTTTAAGAAGTATTGGTGGGTCCAACGCCTAGAATTAATTCTATTCAATGAAAAAGTTTAAAATTTTCATTTTCAAAATCATTTCTACTTACAAAATCTTAAATAAAAAATGTTACTATACAAATTGATTTTTTTAGATGCAAGCTTCTGTTTTGGTCATATCCATACAACCACCAAGTTGATTACATGATATCAGTTTTATGAATAATGCTTTCAGAGCTATAAATCATTCCATGCTTCTGCATAGCTTTGGCTTTTGGAGAAGTTGTACCTTGACATAATATCAAAGCCTCTGCAATCTAATGGTCAAGAGTGCAAGTCTTTCAGCATGGATCATAGTTATCAATTCGGATAGCAGTGTGTAGTAGCCAACCCTAACTGCTATAGCAAGATAGTCGGATGGCTGCTATTGTGAAATTTTATATACAAGTTAAATAATTCATATAAATGTGTGTGTATATATATACAAAGAATGTTAATAGTGCCAGAGAACTGGCTGTAAACACCAAGAAGGTGCCAGATAATGTCATAAATAGTCAGAGGAGCTGGTGCCAGAGAATAGTGGGTCGTGTTTCAGAGACAGAAAGATTCACAACTGCTTCAGAATAGAGTTTCAATTTCAAATGCTGAATAAGGGAGGTGAAATCACAAAATTGCCCTCCAAATTAAACATTAAATCACACAGTATTATGGATTGTAAAGGACGTTTTCAACCATTAATCTAAGTTTCACCAGTTTATTAAGAACTGTTTAAAATATTAAAATAATTGGATTTAAAAGAGAGAAGAAAAAAGACATAAAAGCAGTTTAAGTGCTTTTCTCTCAAGCTAAAAGGAGCTTCTAAAAAATGGCTTAGGCTTTAAAAAGTGTGTTGTAAATATTGTTTTTTGAAAAGCTTATCCAATCACATATTTCTAGTGTCATAAACTCTCTGGATTGATATTACTTATAGATTTGTGCAACCTGGGATTCAAAATAATTTTGAGATAACAAAGTCATTGGTGCATTCTGTAGGTTTGGCATAACTATAGCTTTGACTGTCATGTTATACAAAACTATGGATTTAAGGTTTCTGGATTTCATGCTGATACAATGCACATGGCACGACTTTGGGATTCATCTAGGCGCTGGGTTGGTGGTTATTCTCTTGAAGCACTTACAGGTGACAAAGGGGTCATGTTTGGGGCTAAGCTAGACCATGAAAAGGATTTGATTGGTAAGGTGTCCATGACCACTATATTTGGTCTGCAAAAATTGAAGAAAGATGGATCTATGGGTAAAATGATTACCATTGATCCTGTTGATGTGCTGCAAAGAGATGAGCGTATACCTTGGATATGTTACTCTGTATTAGATGCTAGAAGCACTCTGATGCTTTATGAGAGCCTAAAGAGTCATCTGTCAAATATGCCTTGGAATCTTGATGGAGTACCTGTTTTACGAAAAAACATGTATGATTTCTACCAGCAATATTGGCGACCATTTGGTGAGCTTCTAATCAAAATGGAATCTGAGGGAATGCTAGTTGATCAGTTATATCTTAAAGAGATAGAAAAGGTGGCCAAAGCAGAGCAAGAGGCTGCTGTTAATAGATTCCGAAAGTGGGCATCTAGGTATTGTCCTGATGCCAAGTATATGAATGTTGGAAGTGATGCACAGTTGCGTGTACTGCTCTTTGGTGGAACTTTGAACAGGTGCACAATCTTTTTTGGTGAATGATATCGTGCTATCTGAATTTTACTGAAATATGATTTGTAAAAATAATAGAGATTTTCATTATTTTGATACCGTAATTTATCAAGCACACTTTTTTTTTTTTTAATTTCAGGTTGTATCAAATCTTCTGTTATTGTTAACTTCATATATGTGGTATTTTGATTTTGGAATTTAAAGAACTTTGCGGTATTATACTGAGGCTCTTATTAATTTTGTTTTTAAAACTTAAGACTGTTATGTTATTACGTGAACTATCTTTTTGATTCTAGTTTGGGGTAAAAATGTCTTTATGGTGTTCTTTCTTCTCTTGAAACAATTCAACTGTAAGGGTACCAGTTTTAATATACGGTAAATACTAATTTAACTTTATACTTGTTATAGTTATGGAACTGTAGTGGCCATATCATTGTGTTGTACTCTTTTCATCACTATAAAATATTCCATAGGAAAAAAAAGTAGTTCTTAAGTTAGAGTTTTTATTGTCTGACTGAAATTTCAAGATACTTTTAATACTATTTTTCTTGGTATAATGTCAGCACTCGGAATTTTATAGGTTTTTCATTTTTAAAGAATTATATACTTTTATTTTATTCGGTGTCAGTCATAATGTGGCTGATCTTGACCCTGTTTAGCACATTCAGCTGGAGGGATGGAAGAATTCTGTACTCTCGGTTAAGGGTCTATTCTATTTGTATCAATATGAAAGTCATTAGTATAATGTACCCTTGATTGTTATCCCTTTCTTTGATATTTTTGAATGTGCTAATTGAGTTCGATAAAGGTTATAAAGTTACAATTCCACTGATCAAATATATTATTCTCATGTTTACAATGAATATTTCCAGTATATAGATGAAAGTAAAACTTTCATTTTTCTCTTGCTTCATTATTCATTGCAGAAAAAACCCTGTGGAGGCAATTCCAAGTGAGCGAATTTTCAAAACACCCAATGTTGATAAAGTGATTGAAGAAGGCAAGAAGGCTCCCTCAAAATTTCGTGATATTAAGTTAAATAGCATTGGCTACAATCTGAATGTTGAGATGTACACACCAAGTGGTTGGCCCTCGGTTAGTGGAGATGCTTTAAAGGTCCTGGCTGGCAAAGTTTCTGCCGAATATGACTTCATTGATGCTTGTGATATGGTTCTTGATGATGAAGATGGAAATCCTTCTCAAAGTGAAGTTTTACCTGTAGAAATAGACAAATCTGCTTACGGAACAGCTTTTTCTGCTTTTCCAACAGAGGAAGAAGGCAAAGAAGCTTGCCATGCAATTGCTGCTTTATGTGAAGTCTGTTCAATCGACTCTTTGATCTCTAACTTCATCCTTCCCCTGCAGGTAATTATTCTATTTTAAAAATTTTATTTTGAATTATATCCCTTGTTTGGTCATGTTTATTGATTTTCTTATTAACCCTTTAAACTTTTCTTACCCTGTGTGATGGCATTAATAGTGGTAATGTAAGTGCAATATAAACACAGTCAAGGATAATTTTTGTTTGAGTGCAAGAGAAATAGAGAGGATGGAATTGAGAGCACTTGATTAATCCAATGGCTGCATAAACTTAAAAAGGAGGCTGTTGGTATATTATAGATTCTGTATGTATTTAAGTTTGTAATAATTAGGTTGTGTATGTATGCTCTATGTTAGCTTAATCTGTTCTTGATGGCAGGGAGATAATATAGCAGGAAAGGATCACCGTGTTCATTGTTCAATAAATATCAACACGGAGACTGGGCGCTTGTCAGCAAGAAGGCCAAATCTGCAGGTTCTTCTAGTTTACAAGACTTATTAGCTGTTGGTTCACTTGAAATTCTTTAAATGCCTTATGTTTTAATATTTCATTTGTGTGTTGTTGATGGTGGTATAATTCCATCTTTTTATGTTTTGTAAGATATAAAGCCGTTTGATAACTTAAGCTTCTAGGGGAATTGGTTCTTGATATGATAGCAAAGCCTCTATAACCATGTAGTCAGGACTTGAGTTTGATCATTGTTTCTTCCATTCTTCTTAAAATAAAAGTTCACTTTTTAGCACAGGGTATGGTTGACCTGTGCATTGTCCATGCTTCAAGCTAGAAGGATTTATATGACAGACCAAATTAGATATAAATTTATGTGTGCCCTCACCTAATAGTCTAAGCTTTTAGAAGAGTTGGTTCTTGACAATGCTATCTTAATTAATTAAAAAGGTTTTATAATATAAGTTGTAGAACAACTCATTGATAATAAATTAAAAATTCAGACGACTATTTCTGATATGAATTGAATTAATGGGATGTTAATTTAAGCTTATTGTTTCTGATAATTACATGTGCCAATATTTTGCCTTTTGATGTGAGTTTAGCTTGTGACCTGTTTCTCACTTGAGGGGAATTTCTGTGTCCTACCTGCAGATGTAGATTATCTTGTTTTTTCTGTTTAAAAGATTATTTTTGTTGTGAATCAGCTATACCAAAAGTTTAAGCTAATAGTTAAAATACATAGATGGTCATATACACCTTCCCCCTCACATGAACCATTTGGGCTTGAAGTGTGAAAAGGCACTAGCCTACCTGCTTCTGAAATTCAACTATATATTAGAAGAATGGGAGTGACAAGAATCAAATTCTAGACCACATGGTCATAGAGGCCCTAATACCATGTCCATGAGTCATCTCAAGAGCTTAAATTAGTTGAAGATACATGAATGGTTTTATGCTTTAACAATTTTATTGAAAAAAGAAAAAACAACTTGTTGTGTATAATAATACTAATCATAGCTTTCTTCCTCATAAAAAATGTACTTTTAGTTTAAGGTTTGGAAGAGGGCAGGTGTAGAAATATGAAATATCTACAATGAACTTTGAACTAGAAGCATTTTCTTTCTTGTCTGAGATCTACTTGGTCTTGTTGCATTATCTCCTAAAATTTTGCAATTATTTGAGCTTAATGTTAGTTACACTGCATTATATCTCAAGTGATCTTTAATTTGAACTTTGAAATAAAACATGGGTATTGCATGGATTAGGTTAATCATTGGATTTCAAGTTACAGATTTAATCTAACGCATAATTCATAAACTAGAATCAACCTGCTTTGGAGAAGGATCGCTACAAAATTCGCCAAGCCTTCATAGCTGCTCCAGGAAATTCTCTTATAGTTGCTGATTATGGACAGGTTAGCAGTTTACTATTTTACTTATCTAATTGAACTAGTTGCAATATATTTCTTTATGTTGATGGAGTTACATATTCTTACAGTTAGAACTTAGGATTCTTGCGCATCTTGCTAATTGTAAGAGCATGTTGGAAGCCTTCGAAGCTGGTGGAGATTTTCATTCCAGAACGGCAATGAATATGTACCCATATATTCGTGAAGCAGTTGAGAAAAAGGAAGTGCTTCTTGAGTGGCACCCTCAGCCTGGTGAAGAAAAACCACCAGTTCCTCTCCTGAAGGTAAATTGTATATTGTCTTCTGATCTACTTATAGTTAGACGGCAATAACCTTGATTTGAGATACACAACAATACCATGTTAGTTTGATCTATCTCATTATCTCGTAACTCATTGTATGTCAGTTATGAGAACACCAATCACATTGAAAATGTAAATACAAGGAGTAATATGTTAAACTTAAAAGGCTAACTTTTTTTCCATTTTGTGCTAAATAAGTGATAGGGAAGGGAACCAATGAAGTATCAACATAAAAAGAGACACGCAGGTAAAATAAAATATAAACCTTTGAAGAAAAGCAGGAATACATATTTATGGGATTTAAGAGTGTAGATGAGGAATTGAAGAAGTAAATATTTTTTTTACATTTAAGCTCTTTATCACAAAACATGTTGATTAGGTACCCGTCAGAACTAATCATAGTTAATGCGCTTAGTAAATTGTATGTCCATCTATCACTTAATAAAATGCATTTAGTGGTTATGGGTATTAGTGTCTAGGGAGATGCACTTAATTAATATTAGTCTAGGAAATTGTCTCCACTAAGTCTATTAAGATAGCTGTATATATTGATGATATGCAGAACCGGTGCAAGTATGTTAGAGAATCTCTTGAATAAGAAAGTTGTTTCATTCTCTAAATTCTCCCTAATAGATTCTATTTTCTCTCTCAAACTTCCCCACTAAATTCAGCAGTACCTATGATGAATTTTAAAAATTACAAGGTATTTCAATTGAGTCTTTTATTGTCCAACATAAAGAATTTGACATTTCATGCCATTAGATAAAGTTTCCATGATTCCCATTTCCTCTATTCTCTCCTGTGGCCATTTGTAACAAACAATCCTTGCAACCATTTCCCCCGAATCCCTTTCCCTAATCCACAAGCTTTTCCCTAATAAATTTCCCTACTTAATTTAGTTCTGGATTGCCTTTCATTCAGCTTTTACTCGATCCTGAGTGCAGTGATGAGTTCTACTTCCTCCTCTTGCTGTTTTTCTTGGGATCTTTTTTTCTTTCAGTAAGAGAGGGGGACAAATTCGACTCAGAAGTCCTTGATGTTTTTGAGACTGATGGTCTCCTGTGTCATGATCCAACAACCCAACACAACATGGTTTTCACTCTTGAATCCTTCACCAACACTAACCTCAAGAAATTCCTCACCACCAAAGGTCTTCATGCATTTCATACACACCCTTTCCTTTATTTGCATTATATCACTGTTTCCTCGGAGCTTTCTTATGATATTTATTGAAGCCATCAATGAATATGACGGTGAAGATCCTCTTCTGATCTTCTCCATTGCCTTGTTTCATGTTTCTGTGAGATATCAAATTTGGCCATGTGCTAGTTTTCCTAATGTTTATTTTCTGCTAAATTAATTAAATTGGTGCAATTAAAATTTAGCTACCCAAACGTAGTATTTTACTAAATAAAATATTTAAATTGGTGCAATTAAAATCTAGTATTTAAATTCCTTCAAATTTTAAAATACCCCATTCAGAAATACAACCTAAAAGGAATTTAGAAATAATTTCATTGTGAAGAATGATTAAATATAGTACTAGCTGAATAAGGTACAAAAATGAATCCCACATTCCCACACCACACTCCCAAAAAAAATGGAAGAAGCAACCTTATGTAGCACAGTTATATACTTATATCACGAAAATTTATTGAGGATATAACTCTCTTCTTGCACAATAGTATTAATAATGGTCTAATGAATGTTAAATCAAGGAGATTGGGGCACTACGTTAAAAATTAGAACAAAGTCCCAGAATTCAACAACATATCACTGGAAATAAAGGGCAGCTACTGCATACACTGTTAAGAGTAAAAAAATCAGACATTAGTCTGGTGGAGGGTTTGGTGCAAACACAAAAATATCAAGGGAGTTTGACATTGTGATGTATTTAATAATGTTTGTGTAAATCAATAGAAGTAACCTGCTTGTGAGTTTTAATTAAGCTTCTTTTAGAAGCTTAACAATATTATATCTTATCCCTCCGACTAGAGATAGATGCCCCCTGCCTACAGTTCTATTTTAACAACTTATGAGAAAATTGGCACAGTTCATAGTAAATTTAAATCAAGATTTAAGCAAAAATATAACCATCCATTCCATGGTTGATCATGATCAGTATCGGTGTATAGCATTCCATATAAATTTTTAACATTTGTTTTTATTTCAGGATGCCTTTGCTTCTGAAAGAAGGAAAGCCAAAATGCTTAACTTCTCAATTGCATATGGAAAGACTCCAGTTGGGCTTTCCAAGGATTGGAAGGTACCCTTAATTCTATAACTTATTGAAGGGCTTAAATAGGTTACAAGTCCCCTTGATTATCAATTTCGTTGTCCTAACAAAGTTACATATATTTTTCTCTCAGGTTTCTGTGAAAGAGGCTAGAAGAACAGTTGACCTTTGGTACAATGATAGAAAAGAAGTGCTGAAATGGCAAGAAGAACGTAAAAAAGAAGCTTGTGAAACTCAATGTGTTCACACATTGTTAGGGCGAGCCCGACGGTTTCCTAAAATAGACCCAGCTTTCAGCTACCACAAAGGACATATTGAGCGAGCTGCTATTAATACTCCAGTGCAGGTCCTTGATTCTTTCAAATACGTTAATACAATAGTTTGTCACTCACTGTCTTTCACTACTGCCAAGTTTGTCCTACCATATAAAGTGACTAGTTCTTACTAGAATGGGGCCATAATATTAATAAGTTATGTTTAGGTCTTTTGGAACCCTTTTCCCGCTAAGAACAACATTGAATGATGAGAAAATATTTTCAGAAGAGGTTTTGTGAAAACATCATAATCCAAAGTTTATATTAAAATGATAAATCAAGTAAAGTCATGAATAAAAATATATTAGATGTTAATGGTATTATTCTTAATCTCTTATCAATCGTACATTGCATTAGTGCTAGTCTTGTCAGCTGTTGTCCTATTAGATTAAAGATAAACTTAAAACAATATTTTATAGTGTAAATCAATTACCATTTTTTTCTTTTGAAATATTCATCTATACAATGGCTTTATCCATTCATTGGAGGATTAAAGGACCACATAAAAAAAGTTATTTCCATTTAATCAGCAGCATGACTGCAAGATCCAAAGATCAACCTTTCACCTCATTCCACTGAGGCACTCGGTTTTTTATTGTAACAGCATCTCCTTTAAAAATTAAACTACATGTTTAGAAAAAGTTTTGGAGAGTAACTGATACATTGAGGTTTTTAGTGGTAACAGATTTATATTCTTCTCCCTTCCTCTGCCAATCCATAAAGTTTGAGATCCATCCCCACCTTCAGACCTTTTTTATTTTCTCTTCTGATTTTTCAAATGTTACAGGGTAGTGCAGCAGATGTTGCCATGTGTGCCATGTTACAAATATCCAATAATAAGAAGTTGAAGAAGCTTGGATGGAAGTTGCTTCTACAGGTTAATATTTTTGTATAGGATTTTCTCCTTTTTGATTTCTGTGCTCACTTTTTGTCAAGTACCATTCAAATATTTTCAAATAGTTGGGGTCGATTTCAATAATATATTTATTCACTTTGGATAGAATAGGGCAGGGTCAAGTAGTACATGAAATGAAAGAGAGCATGGCTGACATATATAGTATTATGGATCTACAAGTAAATTTTTTCTTGATCAATGAAATAAGTAGTCTGCCTAAGCAGCTGGATGTTGATTGAAAAGCTATACATTTTACACTTGTTTTGAAATAAGCATGATTCATAGCAACTTGATTGGTGTATTTTCCTTTCCTCCCTAGCTATTTTCCATTTTTTATAATATTCTGGTTTATACATTGATTTGTGCTTTGCTTTGACATTTTTCCACTCTAGCATGCTCTTCAATTCCTCATTTTCTGATCTCTTAAATGTGAATGTGATAAGCATTGTGCTTCCTAACCATGGATGGTTCAGATTATTTAAGAAATACATCTCTTATTCTCATTTTTTTCATTAACCTGCTCATGACATCTTGTATAACTTCCATACCTCATTCTAATTTTACTGATACTCTATTCCAATATGCTGTTCAATCTGAATTTTTTGGAATACCTAGTTGAAAACTTCCTTGCTACATTGTTAATTAAGATTTTGGCTATGGCAAAGCAGGTTCATGATGAAGTCATATTGGAAGGGCCAACTGAGTCGGCCGAGGTTGCAAAGGCCATAGTTGTTGAGTGCATGTCGAAACCCTTCAATGGCAAGAATTTTCTTAAAGTTGGCCTCTCTGTCGATGCCAAGTGTGCTCAAAACTGGTATGCCGCAAAATAGGTGTTTAGTCATACAGTATGGGAGGTTGGTGAATTGGTGCGGTGCACCCTTCGTTTCACAAAAAGGCCATCCATGGTTGGATTTGGGAGAGATGTTTTCTTGGAAACATGGTTCCTTTGGTGAGTGTAATCAGAAGAGGCTGCTACCTTTGGTACATCTTTTTTCCATGGCAAAGGAATTGGCCAAGGTTATCCTCTATTTCTAAAGGGGTCTTTGATGTTCTGGGAGGAGTTCCATTGTGATGTTGTGGTGTGCATAGCATTTCTAACTCTGGAGGAAGCTAAGGACCAATACCATGGTGTCAGCATTTGACTGCTGCTGGTAGCTGCTATTATCCCTTTGTTTTTTAGTGCACACATACCATTGTCATGTCTTACATCATGTAACATTATGGCCTCTCGGCTTCATTCAACTGTATCATTTTGTATATTGTATATATAAAACGAAATTTGCTAAACTTCAATGGGTATTGGTTGCTTGAAACATGTTTAGAGTCTTCTAAATGAAGTTCTCAGTTTCCAATGACTAAGTTCTGAACACACCATTTCTCTTTTACCAAACTTATTTCCTGTACAATATCGTGCAGCAATCAGTGTTTAGGTTAAAATTTGTCTAAGGCATGTCACGCACCTTTAAATGAACATTAAATTTAGTCTGTTTATTTAAAATTGAGTGAAATCAATGTGTCTTAAATTAATTTGTAATAGATTATAAATTTAAATGTCATAAATAAGAAAGTGTTACAAGAATACTCGATATATGTTATCCAAATGAAAATTTAACTATATTTTTTTGTTGTAAAAGGACTAGTGAAAGAATTAAAAAATAAAAAAATCTTGTTTGATATATAAATTTAAAAGAAATTTGGCTAAATGTTTTTAATCCTCGTAAATATATAAACGATCATTTGTAGTCTTTAAGAAAACCATCTCTTTTTTATTCCGTTCACAAATTGTGGCAGGTCCTTATCCTAAAGAAGAATGCGTTCTTTTAACCCTTGTACAAGATTGGGAACCACACAGTACGTTTCTGTAATGAGGGGAAAACGATTTTGGGGTGAAAACCAAGTAATTACTCTCTTTTCACAACAGTATATTACTCTATTTTAGAAACTAAAAATCTTTGACTTAAGTTTCTTGAAAGTCAATCATTTTTTTTCAACATTGGAGAAATTTTAATTTTTCTTTAAGCTTCACGTGTATTTGATTTCACGTTGACTTATCTAAAATCGTATTTAAAAAACTAATTATCTTAAATTTTGATAATTATTCACTTATTAGTTCCATGTTAAGAAATTGATTCATTTAAAGCTTAACCTCTCCTAACAACTAATTAATTAAGTTAAAACAACCATACACTATTTTTACGTTACATCAATAAATTTTACTACCACCTTATTTTTAAAATAAAAATATTCAAATACATCGCTTCAAAACAATTTTACCAATATTAATTTAATTCAGAATCAATTTTATTAACACTCACCAGACCCATTATAACCATGTTAACCCAATATCTTATTTAAGATAAACGAGTCGATTACAAATACGGATTTCTACGTGATTTCTAAATAGAAATAAATATAACCAGTGTGCTAATGAATTCAACAACTTTGCATTATATCTGCTATCCCCTCAGGCATGACCATCTTTTGCATTTAAACATAACGGGAGAAATGATGCAAATAAACTAGGGAATCAAGAACAAATTACATATAATAATTACAAGAAAGATTGGTTCACTCGTCTCAATTTACATAATGCTTATAAGCTGGGCAATTGCTAACAACCAGACACTACCTCTTAGTAGTGACAATATTTGTTGATACCAAAAAAAAATAACGATGATATTCACCGGTCAAACATTGCTCTGACCGGTATAGGATCAGCCTAAGTTCACCAAGATACAGGAGAAAAAGAAGCATAAATTTGTGGCATTTGTAAATCATTGTTGTGTGGAGGCCAAAAAACCTGAACAGCATTATACTCCAAATTACACTCAACACCATTCAAGATTCAATAGCAGCATAGTTTGTCCTCTACAAGCTATTTGTCATGCTGTTGCAGATCAATTTCCCAGGCTGATGCCATCTGCAATAAAAGCTGATCTGGCTGTACCCCTTCCCAGGCCTCAGCTGTATCTGTTGAAGCTTCGTGTAAATTCAGCAGCAGCTCTTTCTTTACTTCCATGGGAATGCTAAAGGTATCAGGGCCATTTTCCAATACTATCTCCAGCAACTGAATATTATGACCATGAATTCACCATTAGGCCTTATTAGATGAAAGATATAAAGCAGGCAAAAAAAGGAAAGCAAGGTAGAAATGTGTACATATAAGAGTACGCACCAATTGCTAAACAAACTTTTTGTTGTGATATTGGTGCAGAATTATATGTCCAAAGAATGAATGTGTATATTGAAGTAAGAGCAATTAAGGTGTATCCACCCTTGAGTTTTAGTGGGTTAAGATTAAGCAGTACTTTGAAAACATCCATTATTGCTCACTTTAGAAGAGCATTACCCAAAAAGAAATGCTTTAAAATCTGGAGCATTTACCAACAAAAAAGGTGCATGCCAGTCACAGACACATTCATTACAACTACCGAGTCATCAAGCAATTGCAGACAGGGGCACGAAAGCCCCCCCAAAAAATATTTAATAGTCTAGTAATTATTTCACAATGATTGCTTAAAAAGGCATAAATTATGCCCTTCTTGAGTAAACACAGCAGTCTTCAATGTAGTAGGCAGGTTCTATGTCACTGGACCAAGTAAATTGTCTAGCTGATAAATTATAAAGAAGAAACACAATGTATGAAAGCCCTCCAACAAAACATTGACGCAAGAAAACATTAATAGATGCCACCCCGTGAAATGAGGACTTGTAGCAATTCAAATACCAAATCTTGAGACAAAGGAAAACGAAGACAAATCACTGAAACCCTTCAATAATGTGAAATCATTTTTCTTGATGAAGATCTATTAAAGTGGTTCCATACTAGTTATGACCCGGATAAAATGTCAAGAAATAGCAAATTCATTTGTCCCTATTATTTAGAGAAATAGGTGTTATTTTAATGAGAGAATTCATGTGACTACAGAATTTACATATACTGACTTGAAGAAAGGAAATTCAAACAGCAAAGTAAGCCATACCTGCTGAATCCAAGACAAACAGATGTCATACATGTTCTGGTCCAGTAAGAATTGTCCAATGGCATTTACAATTTCACATGCAACTTCACTGGAAAGTTGGTCAATTACAGGGCCTGTTCTATCCATTAGCTTTACAAGCAAAATATCATCACCAGTGGACAATACTTCTGCAAAGGCTGAATCTACATCACCTACTTGAAGGGCATCCATTGCATTGCTCCAAGAAGTCCAGATGGCATCCCTCTCCTGTCCAACATTGTCATCAGCAAGAGCTTCTGCAGTCATTTCAGGGATTGCTACTCTTGTTGCTCGAGATGTTCCATTGTCCTCACCAGCTACCCGAATTGCTTCCAAGGTAGCTTCGTCCTTAGAAGCTTGCCAGACACTTCTTGCAGAAGGTCCCTCACCAAGCCGGATGGGCATTGCTGCTTTATCCCAAGCTCTCCTGTTGCCTGCTTGATCATTGTCATGCACAGATTTTGGTGATCTTCCATCAGCAGAGCTACCCCCAAAACCCCTCCTAGAGGAAATCTGGCCATTTCTAGAGGCACCATAGCCGGGAAGATCCCACCCCTCAGACATGTCAGATCTCCAAGATGGCCCTCTTCCCCTCATTCCCAAAGCACTTCCATCAGACTGAGCAAATCTTTCACCAAATGGCATGCGTCCATCACCACCTCTCCCATACTTGGAACTGGAGTAGTCATTGAAACCATTATACTTGCCAGAAGGTCTACTAGATGATCCCTCAAACCCTGAAAAGTTTCTACGACCTGATGATATGGATAGATCTCGTGACATGTCTTCAACAATTCTCTCAAGACCTCGCACTCTGTTCTCTAGCGTAACCATGCTATCATGTGATCCACCCATGAAATCCTGCAAAATTGTTAAAAAAATCTATCACTTATGAAGAACATATACCAGAACTATTTTTTTCTTCCATGGGACCAAACCTGCAGCATGTTCATCAGATGAACTTGTTGTCTTTCCAGTTGCAGTAACTGCCTCTGGATGGCCAACCAGTTTCCTCTGTTATTGGAGAAGGGTACTTCTGATTGACCATCCGTTTTAGAAAAACCTGCAAGATTGGCAGAACCATCCCTCTGATCATTTTCAGTCCTATCATCAGTATCATATGCTTTTGCCCTCAGTTCTTTTGAACTCACTCTCCTTTCAGTGTATCTGTCATGGCCAAAATCATCATAATTCCTTTGTTTGGAATTTCCATCATTGCCTCGCTCAAACATACGATATTTATTACTGGAAGATCCATGAAAATCATCATTGCTAGAGATATTTCCAACAGAATTTGTTCTTTCTTTTGAATCTTTAGCATTTGCCTCTGATTCTTCCTCATTGTTTGAAGAATTGAGGCCTCTACGAGGAACAACTACTTCCACCGGTAAATCATCTGAACCCCTTCTTTCAAGTTTTTGGAAAAATTCTGGATTTAGTTCTTTATCAGATAATACAGGTGCTTTCTTTTTCAGTATTACAACTGCCTTCTCTGAGATGCCAGCTGCTTTGGCCTTAGCAGTTGAATCCATATTTGAAGAACTAGTTGATGAATCCTTTACTGATGGATCAGTCTTCCTCTCATCAGGATTTACTTTTTTTGAGTCATTTGTTTCTGACATAATAGCTGGCTCATTCCCACCGTCTAAGCATAAAAACAACAATCATCAGTGAGATAAACCAAGACAAAGTGGCCGATGAACAGATTTTGACAGCCAAATCAAATATACCTACCAGATGAGGGCTTTGAATCATCAGGGGATGCATCTCCTTTCCCTGCAATCTTTTTCCACAATTGCAATGCCTCATTGATGCTATCTCTCACTGGCTTTATCTGAAAACAGTAATACAATAATTTTGAAAAATAGATAACTAAATCAAAGAATCAGTTCTCCAGTAATGAAGTTTCAACAAATTATGAATAGGAAATGTCACTGCAAATGCTACCTTGTCAAATCGGCAAGCCTCAAGTACTGTCAATGTGGGTGCTGTTCTATCAGTAACCAAGCTGCTTGAATGCAAAGCCAAGGAATTTAATGCCTCAGCTGCTGCTTTACGTGTTGCCCAATCAGTACTGGTAAGGCATTCATGAATGCTAGGTAGCAAATGTTCCAGACTATGTGGTGCAATTGCTCCAACCTGCAATAAGTACACAATTACCTCTCAGGAATTTTCATACTAGTGATTTTCCATCACAAAATGGTAAGTTGGTGATTGATGATCCCCCAAGTTTGACAAACACAATAACAGATTGACAGAATCAAAATAAGAGAGTATGGATCTTCCTGGTCTCCACCATCCAAATCTGATAAAACTATGCCAAATCGTCCACTGAAATTACCAACATCATTAGAATTAGCCTCTGCAGTTGCCAAAGCTACCACATACGGCCATGTTAAATTGGGTTTTACAAATGTATTCTAATATCAACAGTTCTAAGTTCTAACTAAATCTCTTTTATTTATTACCCTGATGAATCTACTACAATAAACAAACACTGCATTTTCAGTCATCCACTCAAAAATAATTTTCAGCCTTTTGCTGAATTTCCACTCTTCAGTGGCAGTACCAGGCTAAGGTAGCAGTTATTTAACATACATGTTAATTGTTAAGAGTTAAAATTGTACCAAACACAACCAGATATAGAGATAAAAAGTGATATATTTTGGATCCAGCAAAAGAACTGAAACCAACACTAGTCCTCCTCTTGGAGAGGCAAAGGGTACTCTACATATATCATATAACTAAAGCATCCTCCATTCTCTCAGAATAAAGAAAAAGGGCAAAATTTAGATACAATTCCTTTGGTACTTTTTGTGGTGTTCTACAATCAAAATCGAAGTTTCACCTCAATAACCAATGAGGACCTTTAAGGCAAACTTTTACCACAAATCATGAAGGAAACTCTAATTCTAATTCTAATTCGAGAATAGCACCAAAACACACCTAAAGAACTACATCTAAGTTTTGTCCTACAAACAAAAACTATCACAAAATAACCAAAGCATATCAACTGTTTTAAACCAAAGCTCCATTCAGAATCAAAGCTTCAACTCAATAACCTATGAAGACCTTTAAGGCAAACTTTAATTACACAAATCATCAGGAAAACTCTAATTCTGATTCGAGAATAACACCAAAACACACCTAAAAAACTACATCTAAGTTTTGCCCTACAAGCAAAAACTATATCACAAAATAACCAAAACATCTCAAATGTGTTAAACTAAAGCTCCATTCACACTCAAATAAAGCAAGGACACATCCATTGTGCCACCTAATGACCAAAATAGCCCTTTAAACTTCACAATACACCACCAACCGTTACATAGTTAGATCCCATTTCATAATCCACATCAACCCTTGCTCCCAATCCACAACAACAACAACAACAATAACAACATTGCACCTTACCTGTGACAGGCTAGCAACCACCGGCAAAATCGCCGCCTTGGCCATAAAGTTGGGACTGTTGAGCAGCTTACAGATCCTCGGACACAGCTTCTGGAACGCCGCCACCGGCGCCTCCCCCCCGCCGCCGCCGCCGCCGGCGCACTCCACCATCTTGGCCATGCAGGCCGCCGCGCCGCCCTGCACGCCCTTGTTCTGCTCCCCCATGGCCTCGAACAGCGGCTTGACGAACAGCCCCACCACCGTGCCCACCCCGCCGGCGGCGGCGGCGTCGGCCTTCAAGTACTGGGCGGCGAGCGCGCCGACGGTGTCGCGGCAGGCATCGCGGACGGCGGAGTCGGCGTCCTTGAGGCGGCGGACGAGGTGGCCGATGATCTTGGTGAGGTGGGCGGCGGCGGCGTCGGAGTGGGCGGCGCATACGGCGGCGAGGAGGCGGAGGGCGTCGCGCTTGACCGCGGGCTTGGGGTCGGTGGCGGCGTCGTATAGGCAGTTTAGTATCATGGGAATGGCGTCCGGCGAGAGGGCGGCGATGGTCTTCTCGAGATCCTCGACGGCGATCTGGTGGGTGTCTCTGTCGGAGAGCTTTGAGAGCGAGGTTAGGATCCTCTGCTTGAGTTCCACCATAGCGAGGTGCGACGAGAGTGATGAAGATCTTGATGAGGGTGCAGGTGTTGGGGTTTGGGGTTTTGGGTGCTTCATTGTGCAATGCAGCACTTTGAGTTTCTGAGAGCAATGGAAACAACCAAATGCTGGATCTGTGTGTGACTCTCACTCACTCACTCACGGAAAATGGGTGCAATACAAGTTTTTTCAAATATCACTAACTGAAAATGATGCCCTTTTTCCCTTTTGCTTTCTCTTTCTTTCTCTGAATTCTAAGTCAAGGGATAGGGCAAATTGCTCTTGGTCCCATATATAATTACAATAATTACACATATTTCAACATGGGTTTAAAATTAAACTACATATTTTGAAGCTGAGAAAATACATGTTTGTAAATATAATTTTCTATCCACGTTTAAACAAGGTTAGGATTTAAATCTTGTCTTGTGTATGCAGTCGCGTTAAATTTTGGAGCTAGCTATTCCACCTTTTGAGGTGTCTCCAACGTATCAAAGAAATTACTCACTGCTATCGGCGGTAGATATTCCAGGAAAAAAAAAATTCAACTGATTCTCAAACACATGCAAAATATTTTAAAATTAACAATTAAAAGTCAAGTACAATTGTAAAGTTTGTTTTGAAACTTGATAACTTGGGTTCAATTTTGTTGATATATTAAAATAATATTTGATTAAAAGAAGTTATAAATAGTAACATATTTAGAATGTTGAAAATTACTCTTAACAAATCTGGAGGCTAGACTCTAGTTGGTTGAAAAAGTATGTATAAGTATTATGGTATACTTTTTTTAGTATTGTATGTTAGAATAGATTAAAAGAAATGGTTGGTTCATGTTTAGGTTGAGATTGAGAGATGCAGCAATATTTGTGGAGGAATGTAGTCGCAGGGCAAGGCGAGGGACCTTGGCTAGGGGTGTAGAATGGGGCAGGAGTTAGGGTTTGATCCAAAGGGTGAAAGAGAAAAGGGAATTGCGTTTTCTTTAGTTAATAAATACTTTTTATGATCATGTAATAAAAATTTAATGAATCACCAGTTCTCTTAAGCATTAAAGTTTTTATTATGAGAATGTGCATTTCAATAAGAATTATAAATATTTTTTTCTTTTAATTTTATGCGTGCAGTTTTTTAGTTTAGGGTTTATTAGTTGTAATATATTATAAGAATGAAAATAAAAAAAATATATATATATATAAAAATTTAAGTTAAAAAATAATATTAATGTAATATTGCTAAAAAGACAGAAACATATTTTTACCTCGAAAGAATAAGTAAAATATTGCACAATTTTTTGTGTTGATGTTTGTACCCATTGTTTGAGGAAAAACTAATAAGAAAAGGAAAGAAAAAAATTGAAATAAAAATTATTAAAATGTTCAAAATATTTTTTTTTATTTTTTATATACTTTCTTTTCAACTAAATAATTAGTTTTTAAATTGTATAATTTTCTACTATTCTTGTTTCTTTCACACTATAAGTCAAAATATAGAATACCTCTCAAAGTATGAACTCTATCTAAATGTTAATTTTTCCATATGAAAATAATTTAAATTTGGGCATGTTTTCAATATTAACCCGAGCAAAAAAATAATCGAATTCTTCTTCTTTTTCTGCTAACTAACGAAAAAATTTATATATAAATCATATGCATCATCCACATAAGTCGATAATTACTACAATAACAAAATTCTTTTTTAAAATATCTAATATAATTATAGTAAAAATTTGAACTTGATGACATTCAATTAAATTCAAAACAATTTCGCGTTAATTAATTCAGAAGTTCAATAGGTGAATCAAATTATTTTAAGACAATAAATGTGCTACACTTTTTAATCTAAATTGCATTCCTTTTCCAATAAAAAACAATAAAAGTTAGATAATTAATTCTTATGTACGTACCAAACAATTCAAACACTTAAAAATCCAAGCACATGTGGTGTGGTATTAACTCTTAACTCCACCCAAATTCTCCAAAGTCATGAACTATAGAATAAGACGTGGTACTTGAAAAATAAAATAAAATAAAATGCTATCCACATTAAAGATCATCAAACATTTTAAATTCAACAAATGGGTCCAACGTTTCCATGAAAATGTGGCACATTTTTCTGACACCAAATCCACTTCATAAGACACGTTAAGGAATACCAACCAATATGTTGTTTGCAAGTCTAATGCTAAAAGTTTGCGTTGTTAACGAATTTCAACAAACTATCAATGATCACAGAAATTAATCATAGTGTTTAACGAACCAATTGCAATTAAAAATTATTGTCGGCTATTGGTATAGATGAGGAAAAATAATTGAATAACGAAAGCAAGTGTTGATCTCAAATTTTTCATTTGTAAATCGGATTTGGTAAATTATGTCATGTGGATCTAAATTATGAGGTAGCTTACGCAAAATACTTTCTTCCTAAAGAGGCATTGAGACAAAACTTTGGTTATTAAGAGACAGTGACAAGAAGACAAGGTGTGTTTTGTTGCAACAAGATATTACCAATGATATGATGTTAAATTTCCTAGCTAGACAACCTTTAAGGAACTGCAATACGTAAGTCACTTGAATGATAATTAGAAACCACTCAATTCTATAGGTAACTTTATGAGGTGTTATTTTAAGAAGTTGTTATTATGAGGCTTCACCTTATTAAAAAAATATAAATTAGGCTTCACCTTATTAAAAAAATATAAATGCTATGAGGTTTATGTATTTATTATTTAAGAAAATATTGGAGATCTTGTATCAATTAATATAAATAAGTGATAAATAGTTTTTATCTTATATAATGATTTTGTAGAATTAAGTAATAGACTTAAATTTATATTAAATTTATTGGATCATCTAATACAAAGTTATTATCAAATTATTTATAAATATTTAGTTGTATAAAGTTTACGTTCGAGGTATTCAATTTATGTGAAAAGACATTCATCTACTTAACTCTCATCTTACAAATAAAATTTTGTTAGATAATTAGACTTAAGCACACTTTTTTTTTAAATGTTTATATATGTATTTTATTTTTTTATCATCTATTTTTCGTTAAAAATTATTTAAAATCATGTCATCATGGTCATATTTTAAAATTTGATTATCGTTTCAATTGTATTTAGTAATTGTATATTAATTATTAGTTTGTAATCAGGAGAATATAATTTATTAAAAAATATTTTGATTTAAATTATTTTTTATATCATGAATATACATCAAATTATATTAGTATTAATTGTAATGTTTATCATAAAAAATTTCTTCAATATTATAACATTAATTAATAATAAGACTAAAATATATGAATAAATAAATAAGATTAAAAGATTGATAACAAGAATTTTTCGCGTATTAATTTTTTTAAACTAAATAATTAGTTGTAATTTACATAATATTGTTACTTCTAATATAATTATTTTAAGTAAAATAACTAAGATAAACATACACAAAAATGTCATAATTTTATATATATTTACCTTTTGTCTAAGGAGAGATTAGAGTTCTAAAGAATTTTTTGTACACAATATTTAAAACATTATTAAGTTTTATCTCCTAGTGGCAATAAAGTTGCAATACTTGAAATAGCTACCACAATAACAATCTTGCCTTGAAATCTAACTTTTGTAAGGAGAGTTTTCCAAAGAAACATTTTACCTATTTCTCCTAAATCATACACAAGAAATAACTTTCCAAAACTCATGTTAATATACTATAATATAGTGTCATGGATTGACTTTGATCATAATTTAAGTCACAAAGTAGTATAGAGTATTCTTCTTGCATTTTTAACTTGTTGTAATTTAATTTTTCAATAATATGATGATTATTCATTTGGGTCATTAAACGATCATGGAGAATAGGCATTCTTAGGTAATCTTTCAATATTTTCCTACCTTTTTAAGAATTTTTTCAATATCTAAAAAGTGCATCATTTTTGAATGTGTTCATCTAATAAATGGAGATCAAAGAAGTTTTAACAACCGATATTGCTTGTATAAAATATCTTTTTAAAGTAATTGCTAATGTGACCCCCAAATGCATCTTGGAACAATAACCTTACAATGCAACAAAATTGTAAAAAATAATCGACGAAGTTGTGTTCTCGTATCCCATATTGAAGTTTCTTGTAAGCAATCATCCCTTTTTTTTTATCATCATCTAATTAACCAAGGACATAACATGCCTATTTAAAGGTAGGATATATGAAACCATGTATAGTTCTTATTTGTTCACAAGAACAACAACCTCAAAAAATATTCAAAAGCATTCTTAAATAATATTTCTCACTTGTTGTGGGATACATAGTATATTCTCCCAAAACACCTATTGTTGCGCCTTCTTGTCCATATCTTTTAATTGTTGTTCCACACAAATATTGTAAGAAAATCTATGTAAGTTAATTTTCGAGCTTCAATATTTTTAGAATTCATTCTCATCCACTCAATGAACATTATCCTCTCAATTCCTAGCAATGTCAAATATTATTAATTGTAATATCTTATAGAAAATAAATTGTATTTTGCCTTGGAAGATGAGAAGATAAACACTCTTGGTTCTTGATAAAATGTGAAATTGGAAAATTTGTCAAACAACCTCAACTGCATAAATATATCTACAATAAAGATAGGATTGCATTTCATCATATCCATGAATTGAATTTGTAAAGTCATGAGCATAATTTTATAGATTTGAGATAACAACAATAACTGAATCTAAGCCTTTATTGATATACTTGAATATATATTTAAATGGTCTTGATCAGTTGTAAAGTTCAACATTGATATGAGCATCAAACATGACTAAAATATCTCTATTATAAGGGACTGCTTAATGAATGTCAAGTTGTGATGGAAACATGCCAAGGCTACTCCCTTCCATCAAGTTGGGTGCCATTCTTCCGAATGTACCTACCATTGTTTTTCCTCATATATATTGGAAAGTCATCTTCACCTAAAAGTGTCTTATCATGGAACTTTTTAGGATAATGCTTTGAACATTTGTTATTCACCATGCATGGAGAACAATAATTTAATATTCCACAAGGTCCATGAATCATGAATCTGTCAACTACACTAAAAGAAAACTAATATGTGTGGATGAGGTAAGACCTATTTTCTAGAATTTCATTATGTAGACAACTAAACTAAATTTAAAAGGAAGGTTAAAGATTCATATAAATTCCTATATAAAATAGAAAAATATAAAATATAAAAGAAATGACTATTTAGTATATAACCATTTAATAACATCATTATATTGCAAAG